ATATGTTAATAATCTTTTTTGTTTTGATATTTTGATTCAAATATATTTTAATTTTATGGCATCCTATCCTTATATACCTCAAACTACCCATCAAGACATATAATCTATTAAATAGTTTTAAAATTTTGATAATATTGTATTTACACAAAATCATTACATATATTTAATGTAGAATTATCCTTTAAAAATGATTAAGGTTTCGTTTGAGATATCTTTTTTGCTGCTTTCTAAAATAGCTTTTCAGTATACAAATTTTATAATTAGAAAATTTTGTACTAAAAAGTCATTTTAGAAAATAGTAAGAAAGTTGTCCCAAACAAAGCCTAAATATGCAAGTAAGCTTGGACCAAATTAAGTAACAAATTATTGCGTACTCTTTACTCTCTTAAATTTCTTTTATTTTGTGTTTTTTACGACATTGCAAGTGCTTATTTTGATGAGTTTGAAATTATAGTATTTCAAAATCATCAAATCACCCAAAGTTATCAAAAATGTTATCATCAAATTAAATCGAAGTATATTTGACCTCATTAGAGAGCCTAAATCATAAGAATTTTGGTAATAAAATCATTGTTATTAGATGCTCAACTAAGGCCAAAGCTTAATCACACCATCTTTATTCTCATAATGTGACCTAACCAAGCAAGCTGATCCAGCCCAAGCATTAGTTTAAAAGATGAGCACACTTAGTCTGCTTACTTGTGCTTAATCCCTAAGCTATGCTTTGGCCCAAATTCCCTTTTAGTTTAATGAAGCAGGTCAAAATCAATATAATTTTGGGTTATGGGATAGGCTCAATCACATGATATTCTAATTTAATTGAAAAATTGCTAAGATCCTCAAAATGAATCATATAACATTGCACTTAGCACAATTCTCCCTATATAGAAGTCTACAAGGTCGAAAAATATACTAAAGAAAAAATCCAATACAATCTATTATAATGTGTTGTTGTTGGGTTAAGATAAGATGAGTTTGATTTAAAATAATTCTCAAATTATCCCTAAGGATCAAGTCAATTTAGTCCTGAAGCCTTACATTGAACCTAAACTTGAGCTAACCTCATTTAGAGGCTCAAAGCCCTTCTAAAACTCATCTAATTCTCTATCATGACCCACCACAACACAACCTTTATTGAATAGCTTACATTAGAATGGATATGCAGCATATAATACCCTAGATCTTTATTTGGAAAGAATTATACTATATATATAACAACAACACGGAGTCTAGCATCATAAAATTTATAGAAAAAAAATCATTAATTACTTTCCATTTTAACCCATGGTTGTATAATCAAAGCATTAATTTACATCAATCATTGTGTGCCATTTTCTTTCATCATAACAATATCCCCATGATGGCAAAATAACAACTAATGGAAGATATACCTATAAGTACACTACTTTTCACTTCTCTATCTATTCAACTCGACCCTTTCCCTTTTTCCTATCTTCAAATTAACACATGTAGATAAAGCATATATGAGCAACACTTACTCAGTAGGTTTTCTGACTCCTGCCAAATTGAATCTTAAGAATTTTGGTCAAAATGAATAAAACACTCCTTTCTAAAAAAATATTATTAGACTTAGATTCTATACATTTATTGAGTCTGAGATTAAGCCACAAAAAAATATTAACATAAACTAATCTTAAGCTTGACTTGTAGACACCCAACATAAAAACCCAATGTTATATCCTATCAATGACATCAATGCCATTGTCCAACATTGTTACCAACCCTGAAGCATGTAATCACCACCAATGTTGCCATCCATTTTTGTCATCAATATTGATATCCTCCATCACCAAAACCAATAATTCCCACCACCTATAATAAAGTTGATGCCATGGAAAGACCCTCCAAGGCCATTCCAAATATTAGTCTATGGCTAAAACCCAATTAAACTAAAATTTTAAATATTTACAACCAATGCAACTCAAGAGGGCCTTTAATTCCATGCATAAGTCTAAACCATTAGAAATGATCCAAACCAATTTAAACTGAGCTCCTAAATGGTTTGATCCATTTTTTGATCTATGGTCAACTATCAGTTTCTAGGTTTGACCTTAAATCCCTTAAACTCTAAAAGTGTAAAAATGACCTTTCTTGAGCTAAATCAAATCCTAGGCTCTAAGGTTGTGTCTGAAGGCCTCTAAATACTTTTATAAACATGTCCAAACTCAATGAAGCCCATAGTGAACCGTGGTTAGCAATGTTTGACCAATTCAACCATGTGTAATTCATTTGAGATTAATATCAATTTTAATGATAAAACATATTCCAAACCTTAACATGATGTTTCAAACCTTCTAAGCACTTTCCTAAACTCAACCAAGTCCATTGGAACCCTTGGTTCACCATGGGTCATAATGGTTGACCAATTTGATTGGGAAAGACTCATTTGACCCATACATCCTCTATGATTAAACCCAAATGCCATTAAATAATAGCCTCAAACATATCCAATATCATGAACATACCCTAAAAACTTTCCCCTAGTCAGCCCAGCCTTGGGCTAGCACCCAATTAAGCTGACCTAAGCTATCTCAAATGAGTTAAAATCCATTCTAAGTAGATATAGCCTGCATCATGCTCACCCATGTGACACATTGCACACCTTAAACTTGCTTGAACCCAGCATAGCCCAAGAGGTGTCATGGTTGGCCATATATTATCTTGAAT